CCTATTTTTATCTTCCAATTATGATTTTTCGAGGACCGGTTTCGAAGTCATGTCATCAATCCTCCAGCCTTTTGATACCTCCATTGTAGTTAGTACCATGAAGTATCAATTACATTATGCAGTCAGTTTTGGATATGTCTTCTCGATGGACCAGTTTTTACTTCTCCAAGAAACACGTCACGACCATCACAGGACTTTTTGGTCCGAAATCTCGTTCGTTATATCAAACGGTTGCTAGTTAATCATTATTTCCACGAAACTCGCGCGTATATTTGAATCCTTTATCGCAAGGTTGTGGTATTTCGATCTAAAAATTGCTTCTTACCAGTAGCTCCAGCGCCCTAATTACCGGTAACGCAATATTCTGAAGTCATATCCACCATCGACCTCGTAACGTAACCACATTTTTAGCCCGCGCCAAACTACTGCCCATAATGCAAGTTTTAGTTGCACATCTTCCTGCTATATCATTTAATATTAAATACTTTTCAGAAAAGCTGCCTGTGTACGCTAAGCATCGACTTTCTAGATATTACCTCTTCCTCAAGTACATAAATATCACGCGTATCTATTTCAAGGATCTATGTTTAATATAATTAGAAATAAAATATCGGAGTAAAAACAGACTATATATTGGGGATTCGAAGGAGACATCAAGCAAGAGATATGTCTTAAACGATAGCTTGCTTATTTTTTCATTATAACTGCAGATTGTGTTGGTGCTAAATTCATAGACAAACTCACAGCCTCTTGTTTTCTTGCGCTTAGTTATGATACTGAACAGCTGCACAATTGCGTATGTTTATCACAATTGAGAGTGAGAATAGTTGAGTTTGGGAGACAATTGCCAGTCGAGGCACTATTTTAGACCGCAGTTCTCAGTAGTTATGCATAGGAAGCATCTGGTTTCTAAACGTATTGGATATTGATGATACTGTTGATATTGTTATTAATTTTTGAGCCCTAGGGCTGAGAAGTGGATAGGAGGATGCAAAATCATGATGAAGCTGCCTGCCCTCTGGGAATCTAGAGACGCTTCGGGCGCACACGATGACGAGTTCCAAAACTTGAATTTATTTATCAGGCAAAGTTTGGGCAACGCTGCTGCCCTTGGCAACCGTCGCTTGATGAATCGCCTTTGTCCGACAGCCGCGGACACTTTAATCGCTCGGTCATGAAGAAGCATCCGATGTTTAAACATTTGTTTAACACCGAAAATCATTTGTTTGACATATTCATTTGTCTAAAAACATAGAAAAACACATATTACAAAGTTCCTCATATACCACGAGTAATTGGACCGATGTATTTTTAGTGATCATTCTTTGCAAGCCACTCTACCAAATAATGTTTCCATATTTTCATATACATTTAACATGTAATTATAGGTAACCCGAGAGCTGCTCCAAAATAGTTAATTTTAAAAATTTAAAATCAAAGAATCATATCTTTATAGAAAACGTTTCGGAGACCAGCTCCATCGTCAGTTCGTAGAATCTAGAATCACAAATTAGAAGTCACAAATTAATACAATGACAGCACAGAACGAAATTAAAACCTAAATTTACAAATAATAGACAGAGCACAAAAAACTATCTATTCACAATTTCAAGGGGAAAGGAGCTAACAGTTGAATTAAAACTGGTCCTAAGCTTAAAAATGTACAGGGATTCTAAAATACGCAAATCTGAAGTACCGGCGTTGGAAGCTAACACCCTAAAACACCCTCTTCATAAAAATTCAAACCCTCATCACATGTCATCATTTATTTTTATTGCTCATTTGAATATACGGGTGTTATTCATGTCACTGAATAATAATAGGAATGAAGTCATTCATGACTTTTCTGTACTGAAGAAATCTTATTGGATTCTTGCGTTATTGCACTAAAAATTTCACCACATCGGGTGGGCTAGAAGGAGGCATCAAGCAGGCGATACCTGTTTAACAATAACTTGACATTTTTAGCGCATTTTCTCATTTGTGGAAAAATGTACTATTGTGCTTGCCATGTCCGTCTGTCTGTCTGTCTGTCCGTGCGTCCGTGACCACGTTTTCGTCGACGAGATGTTTTTTTTAGTTTTTGGTTTTAAGTTTTTAGTTTAGTTTTTAGTTTAGCTTTTAGTATTTAGTTTAGTTTTTAATTCAGTTTTTAGTTTAGTTATTAGTTTATAGTTTAGTTTTTAGATTTTAGCTCATTTTCCCATTTTTGGAAAAAATGCACTATTGTGCTCGCCATGTCCGTCTGTCCGTCCGTCCGTGATTTAACGTTTTCTTCGACGAGAAAATGCGCTCTCTATGTCACTCACTACAGTGAGTACTGAGTTATATTTTTTTATATTCCAGAATAAGTTAGCGTTAAATACATCGACAAACTCACAACCTTTTATTATGTGCTCGTAGTCATGATACTGAACTGAGCTGCGTAATAGTTTGTGACGGCGGGGATGGGGTGAGAATAATTTAGTCTGGGATACAATTGACTGTGACGGCTCCTCACTTGCCGAAGTATTCAGTAATTATGTATATAAAGCAACTTCAATTTTTCGCAATAATCATACACCTTCGCTCTGAAGCAAATATTTTTGAGACCCACCGCAATATTGCGTCTTGGGTTGCGAAGTCGCATAGTAACGGAGGTCAATTTAGAGTTTTCGAAACTCAAGAATAGTCCTGCCAGTTATGTGGCCTGTCGATGATTCCAATACTTTTCGCGACTAGTCCACAAATCTTATAACAGGTCCTTTGCCCGGATCATTTAAACACTGACTATAGTTTGAAATAGCTACTAGACTTCCACCAGGTTCGATATGGTGCTGGACATTTTAAGTCTGAACGAGTCCCGTATTTTGTATATGACAACCAGAGTTGGCTTAGTCTAGTGTGGCCGCCACCTTACGAGGATGTGATGTCATCTCGACCAAGCGCCGGCAAACTGTTCGGCCGGGCCTTGTTCAACTGTGTTTTCTTCACATTTAATGTAAGAGTTTGGACTCATACCTAGCCTTATGTATTGAATTACCTTTCATGGTACTTTTGTCTACGTTTAAGGTACGATTCATCCGATACGACAGTTAACTATGAGGACATCACTATTATTATAATGTAGAGGTCTAAACCGAGTTACATTCATGGTGAGAATCAGAGACTGATTCACCATCTGAAAACATCAGAGACCAGCAGAGCCGGATGATTATTATTCATAACAATCGCATACAAACTCATCGTCGCACGCGTGACAAGGAGCCTCTGGGATGCCAACGAGTGATTAAGTAACACATTTCGCACTCCATATTTGTTCTAGGGTTACGAAAAACATTACTGAAAAATTGCAAGCAAAGCGGTCAATGACTCATAAAAGAATAATGAGTTTTTTCTACGTTTAGGTCAATAATAATAATTTTTTCTACGTTTAGGTCCAAGTCACCCGTCAATGGTCAAGTCACCCGGCAATGGTCCAAGTCACCCCGTCAATGGTCCAAGTCACCTGGTAATGATCCAAGTCACCCGTCAATGGTCCAAGTCACCCGGCAATGGTCCAAGTCACCCGTCAATGTAATGGTTCAAGTCACCCGGCAATGGTCCAAGTCACCCCGTCAATGGTTCAAGTCACCCGGCAATGGTCAAGTCACCCGGCAATGGTCCAAGTCACCCGTCAATGGTCAAGTCACCCCGTCAATGGTCCAAGTCACCTCGTTTTACGGTATTGAATACAATTTAATGTAATGCAGGGACTAACTAAGCCAAGCAAGGTCAAGTTCGCATACCTGGATACAAATGATGCGTATTGCTATCTAATAGCCGAAGTTCGGTTATAATTTCGAATCTTATATGACCAAAGAACTCATCCGGAGCTACTGTCAGGCGCTATAATAAGTGCCTTCTGACGGGAGAAGGGTTCGGTGACTAATTCGTGAGGGATAAGTAAGACACCAACTGTCTATAGAACTTATCTTGATACGAGGTGGTAATGCATGAGAGTTACGATACAGGTTTGGGTTTAACGTCGACCGTTAGGTCGCAGTAGCTCTAACGCGACTTACATCGCATCGTGCGTATACTTGTCAGCTTCTGCAGGGGCTTTACTTAGGTTCCCAGCCCATTTATAGACGTCGTACCTCCGTTCACCGGGTTCTTGTCCTCGTTATACATATGCTGTATAAGCTGCCGACTCAGCGTCTGGGGCAAGCTCTCAGTGACACAGTGAACTCATAGCTAACAAGGTTTGCTGATGAACACATGCGGGTTTGTAGCAACAAACTAATCGCGGACACTCAACCTTACAAGTACTTTCAACATATTCAGTCTATCACAAAAAATAACATATTGAAACTCCACCAATATCTACGACCCTTTTGATTATTTTCCTCCGATTTGGACTATGGCCTTCAGCCGACCCCATTGGAGAATTAAAACTGATGAGACATATGATGAAAAGGAAACACACTTCTCGAGAGCAGCCGTGACTTGAACGCGGCTGTGCCCCTGCTGACCGTGGTGGAGGCAGACTGCTTGAGAGCAGCGCCGCCTTCACTCGCCAGTAAGTCAATACCCACAATAACGTGACATATCATTCCTGATATATAACCCATGCACAAAACGTTACTGATATAAACACAAAACCAAGACACTCCCTTAAACACACTTATAGTTACTAAACTATATGTTTAGAATATACTTATAGTTCTCAAATTAACGCACTCAAATAGTAACTCATTGTAATATTTCGGATCTTTTCTACAAATGCATTTTTAGATTCTAGAGGGCGTCATAATGGGAACATCGAAAATTTCATAAACAAATTGCCTGAAATTGAGCCGTAACTTACATCACGTACCTCTAGAGCGCCTCTTTGCAAGGCTATTATCAACGTGTGTGCCGATGGCCGATTGAATTTAAAATGTTAACTTTACCTACAACCAGCGAGGACCAACATTTAGATAGAGTATCAATGGAAATTAATACTATTATATACTCACTAAATTATATATTAACCATATATATTCACTATTAATATATATGAATATATATATATATATATATATCCATATATTCACTGCATATAAAGAGTTTATAGAATAACCCGTTTCCCAGATATTATAATAAAAATACATAAATTCTTCTCGCTCACCTGAACGACATGAAAACAAAAAGCATTTTCCCTTTCGCACACCTATTACGTATAAAAAATAACCTACCAGAAATTTATAATGCATTTATTGTAAAGGCGATAAATTTCAATCTTTGACTCCACGCTGCCAACACTGCTCTTAGAAGATAACATTGAATGCAGCTGATCCATCTTCGCAAATGATCATTTCCACAAACATCAATGGACGAGCGAATATGCGAGCATTATTAACAATTCGCACAGTTTATGAAATTTCAACAATTATAAAGTTCCATAATTGTCACCATACTATAGCGGTATATAAGTAATAGAGGTGAAACTCCAAATAAAAAGATAACACATCATTTGTTTAGAGACTAATATGGCATGGACATTTTTCAATTTCAGGGAATATGACTAAAAATTGTAATCTGTAAACATTCAGGCTACACAAATAATTGTATGCCTACTCAAATTTTATGCTTCTACACAGTTTACACTAAACAATCATTAAAATTACTCTTAAGAATCCAGTCTATAAAAAATATAAAAAATACAGGGATCAAGATGTAAACCTAGCCTGGGTACAACATTTTATTTAATAAAACTCAAGAGATCTGAAGGCAGATCGTTTTTTGCTGCGTGAAGAAGTCCCAGCTCTCGTGCGTACCCTCCCTCCCCAGGCCGCTCTGCTTCATCCCTCCAAAAGGCAAGTCGAGGTCTCTGACCAGCCAGCAGTTGGTCCACACTGTCCCCACCTGTCAGGCAAGATATTTTGTTCGTCAATCGAATAAGAAGGTGGACAAGAGGCTCAGATTTACCACCGACCAAGCACGACATTTGATCTTCGCTAGTAAACGAATTTTGCAAACTCTCAGTATTCCAGACCTGATAACAATAAGGTTCGACGTCATTGACACACCGTCGCTGTCACACAAGTACTATCAGACACAAGTACTATCAGCAAATATAAAGCAAGAAGTCTTGAATGCACAGAAAGACTATATCACCAGTTCAACAGACATTCCATCACCAAAGTCCAGTAAGGGCATCATCGTTTGCAAATATTGAAATTTTTCAAGCGCTATCACTGTAATCCTTCCTCCCACTGATATTCTCAAAAATCAATTACTCTTAGCCTCACTTTCCCCTCAGACTCGTAATATCAATCTTTGTTCAATACCAATCTTTGTTCAATACCATCCTCAAATAGCAGTCCCGGTTAACCCTACTTCCATCAAAATCCTGAAAAAATAGTCTTGGTTACATCACTTGCACAAAAATCCGGCGACGAATATGAACGGTCATCTTAACATCCATTGAAATGCATCAATAAATTAGCGCGGTTATCCCGACTTCCATTTGAAACCAGGAAGAAAAAGGCCAGTTCGCACCCACTCCCCTAAAATCCAGCAAGGACAAAGCGCGGTCACCCTACTCCCACTTGAATCCAGCAAGGACAGGGCGAGATAACTTCCCCCTTCCCACTTGAAACCAGCAAGAGCGGTGTCCCCCATTTAAATCCAGTCAGGCAAAGCGCAGTTACCCCCACTTAAATCCTCTACAAGAACAAGGCGGTTACCCTCACTCCAACTTATATCCAGCATAAACAGAGCACGGTTACCCCCACATATATCCTGCAAAGGACAAGGCGCGGTTGCCCCTCTTTTCGTTTAAATCCTTCAAAGATACGGCGCGATCACACTGTAGACTCGCCTGTAGGGCGTGCGCTACGCGGTGCGCTGTGCCGAGATCCTGCGTGAAGACGGCAGCGCAGAGGCCGTAGCGGACGCCGTTAGCCGCACGGACGACCTCCTCCTCGGTGCTGAAGGGCCGCACGCACGTCACCGGCCCGAATATCTCCTCCTTCATGGCCTGGCTCTCTTCAGGGACGTCCGTGATCACCGTCGGCGCCATGAAGAAACCCTGCGCAACAACGATGGCCGTCGCAAGAGACGACTTCAGTTGAAGAGGAGTGCGCAGTAACAAGGGAGAAGCGTAGTAAAAAGCGGTAATGAATAAATTAGTCTCGTCTTTTCTAAAACAAATTCTAAGACACCACAAAACTAAGAATTCATTCGAACCATGACCTTTACGAACGAATTATTGTTTATTTTTATTTTAACACATTTTTGTCAACAGGACATAATACACAATTAAAGCACACATCATAGTGTTTTTGTAGTGTTTTCTATAAAATATGTATTACTAATGAATGACATGTTGAAGTAAATTGTGAAATAGTCTTAAAATTAATTTAAATACGCGTGAATATGTGAGAGCTTCTGCACAGTGTCGTAGAAACGTAAGCGTATGTAGGAGCTTAAGGTGCCGTGTCGCAGATACGCAAACGTATATTATAGGTTGGGCGCCGTGTTGGAGATACGTAAATGTATGTGGGAGCTTGGGCGCCGTGTAGGAGATACGTGGGCGTATATAGGAGCGTCGTGAGAACGGAATACATGAACTGAATAGACAAACAGGAAAACACAAACCGAATATCTTGATTTTGAGTTATTCCTTCTTCCAAAATGACAGGTTTAGTAAATTATGTTTCTTGAATATGTACGTAACGTGATTAGCAACATTGCAAACTAGATTGTTTCAACTTCTCGGTCTCAGTTTACCAGAGAAAATGAATCATTCTCAACTACACTAAAGGCCAAACAAAACACTGACGTTGGCACATTGAGGCGGCAGCTGGAGTTCATCGCGGGTCTCGCCACACAGGACGCGTCCTCCATCCTTCACTGCCTGGACCACGCACTGACGCACCTTCGCCAGGTGCTGGGCCGAGTTCAGGGGGCCCAGGTAGGAGCTGTCGTCGTCTGGACTTCCTACTTTCAGCTTCCTGCAAGCAAATTAACTTCTAAAAAACTTATTCATGCTGCTTAAACCAAAGAATGTGCGGATAATTTTTAAAACAATTGAAAATAGTTGAATATCATTATATTATAATAAATAAGAATTCATCAGTGGAGCGCCAACTCACTCCACCGAGACAAAAAGACAGTATGAAAGTAGCGTCGTCGTGTCAGCCACCATGCAGTATGCACAAGTTCGAAATTTAATTATTGCACTTAAAATGATGCGCTTCTGCGCCTAATAACGAATTAAATCTCATCCGCTCTTTCTAAATGATATGCTTTGAACTATCGAACGGAGAAAGACTTACTTGACAGCTGCAACAAACTTGTCCAGGAACTCGTCATAGATGCGTGAGTGAACGTAAATCCTGGAGGTGCAGAGGCACACCTGCCCCTGGTTGATGAAGGAGCTCCTCACCAGCGTAGCTACGGTCTTGTTCAAGTCGCAGTCGCTGAAAACCAACGCCGCGTTCTTGCCTCCCATCTGGAGAATAAAGCTTATTAAACTGCAGACATTTTATTTCAGATAAGGGAGGACTTGCGCGGCTTTTGCAGTGTTACCAAGCCGTGTTAATAATAGTTAAACGTTGGCAGAGTTGAACGAGCCGAGGTAGAAACAGTTGAGTTGATCGAGTCGCGGCATGAATAGTAGAGCGATGGCAGTGTTAACCGAGCCGTGCTATGAATAGTTGAGCGATTATACCAGGGTTTAACAACATGCGGCTGATCACTGTTCTTTGACCAGTGATATACTCACCGCTTTCTGTATCCCATTGAACAGCTGAAAGTTTAAGAAATTTTCTGGGAGCATTTCATATATGAAAAACTTTGGCTCAGGTACTCGTGAGTAACATTTCCTTTTGTCTACGGATGTTATTCGTCTAAATATATTCATATCTACAGGTATAATAACCAGAGTTACCGTCAGGAGACGACGAGTTCATGGGCACCAGTTCCAGTGCACTAAAAAACCATGAGTCGAGACATCACTACTAACCATACTGGTGAGCACTATCCTAATCGAAACTCAAGAGAGTGTAAAATAGGTATCGTGAATATCAGGATCCTGTCCACCTTGCCTCTAATAAAGGTCCTATGTGAGCACAAGTGACGATTATAGTGCACTATAAAGGTAATTCGGTACCTATATGTACATAAGCATGTTACATATTTATTCACAAAAATGTTAAAATATTAATAAAAAGAAAGCCAAAAAGGTCAAAGGTAAATATCTCACCTCAAGCGAGAGTTTCTTGAAGAGTGGAGCCGTGATTGAGGCGATGGTGGCCCCGGTGGCGGTTGACCCCGTGAAGGAGATGAGCGGCACGTCGGGGTGCTGGGTGAGGGCTGACCCTGCAGCCGCCCCACTGCCGAACACCATGTTCAGCACGCCAGCGGGCACTCCTGCACACCAACTCATTTTAAACAATCGATCACTTCTGCTAAATTTAGCGGTCGTTTTTCGCGGACTCCCCCTTTGTCGGATTTGTTTTTATTTTTTGTAACCACGCGATATGAACTTAACGCCATACCGTATGCCCATGCAATCTCGGATTGGATCCAGGTTAAAATCACTTCGGACAAAATCACTTCACACAACTAAAACATCTACGCCAGTATTTTCGAATAGAATCTTTTATCCTTGTCCCAGCAGGCTGAGGTGTAGACATTCTTTGCTGAGACATAGCCTTAGTCGACTTATGAATTTGAACACTGAAATACCGACACTATTCATAACATTAAACTATTTTGCAACAAAACTATCAGCAAAGCGCAATAGAGGTGACAAACATACTTGCATAACGCCTCAGATACAATGAAAATCTTAGCAGAATAGCCAAAGCAATTTTTCCGTCCTTCTACTGAAGCCTTTTAATGCATTGTGATTGGTTCTTCAAGTAAAGTACCAAAAATACGAAAAATAATCTGGATAAATTTTAAACTATTACATGTGAACATATAGAAGGGTTACTCTTTAAAATGACTGAGCTGACATCGTCGCCGTTCATCGTAATGTTTGGCTGCGATAATTAATTAAGCTTCTGTCAGAAGGTTTTTACGATGATTTCTGCCATTTAAAACCAAGCGTTCCTAATTTTGTCGCTTTAGCTTCGTACTATTACCAGCCTTTGAAGCTATAATTTCCTTGTTCAAATGACACTCAAAGAGCCACTAAAAGAATTCAGCAGCAGCAATCATCTTTCCTTTGATGAGCTTGCCTTTTCAAGAGCTTGCCTAAACAAAGGTTTACTAAATTTCCTAAAGCATTCAACCAGTGGCTACTTGTTCTAACCCGGCCGACACCGCGTCGAACGCCTCGAGCTTCCAGCAGCTACAGATCGAAGAGTTGTTATCTGCATGGCGCAGTTTCCTGCTGAGCCTTTGGTTTCTTCCGACCTCAATGCAACGGTATCAATCCTTATAATTTGATTGGGGCAGCACCTATGTAAATACCGATAATCAATGCGGTAATAAGTTCAAATGATTCCCAGCCTGTCAATGTAGTTTTCGTATCGCGTCTTGGATTCATATCAGCTGAACACCCGTCTGAAGCCTGCACTTGCATGAAAACAGGCTCTCTGTATCCTTTGCTCATATGATGGATTTCAATTCTTTACCGCTAAATTATTAAGTGAAAAGAAATTAAAAAATAAAGCAACTTCTTTCTATCAGCAGCGACTTGCTACGCCGGCCGATATCAATTGGGTGTGCTACAGATAACTTTCATAAAAAATTAATTGAAAAAAATATCGTCCTTTTCATTTCACATCCCTCTATTAGGCGGCTCCTTTATTTACTTTTTCATGTCACGAGTGCGCAAAACCTTCTTTGTCTTAACTGAAGCTAGAAGTCTGTGACTCGCAAATAGAGTCGCACAGAGGCTTTTCCAACGATCTTAGACTTCGACTAACAGATAAGAGATAGTGGGGGATGTGGTAGCGACCTCAGTCGGTATTGAGACTAGAGTGAACACAAGCAGTCTGCACTGACCTGCCTCAACGAAGAGCTGGCACAGCATGAAAGCCGTGAGTGACGTGAGCTCCGAAGGCTTGGCAACGACCGTGCAGCCACTCATGAGTGCCGGAGCTATCTTGAATGTGAGCAGATAAAGGGGCAAGTTCCAGGGCGATATTAGGCCTGCTACGCCCACAGCCTCGCGCGTCGTGTAGTTGACGGTTTGAGACTCGCTCAGGATCTTGGACCTGAGTGAATACATTGACTTGACTCTTATGAATCTTATGTACTTACCGAGTTTATGCTGATGCCAGGCAACTTTGCCTCATCAACAACTACGGTTTTATTCAAGGTTTAGGAACACGATGCATAATAGGACAGTAATAAGATATATAATCAATAAAAATATAACTCAGTACTCACTGCAGTGAGTGACAGAGAGCGCATTTTCTCGTCGACGAAAACGTGAAGTCACGGACAGACAGACGGACGGACGGACGGACAATTCAAGGATAAATAAAGGACGGACGGATAAATTCAAGATGAATCACTTATACACCATTGTAAAGAGAAAGATTAAAAGTTTTTTCGACAAATTTATACATTTTCAATATGTCCCCAATGTCCCCTTAGGAAGTGAATGTCAGTCACATCCCGAGCGTTGGGGAGGACACATAGAAAATGAAGATCTGGCTCTACACTTTTGGCCACCGAGATCTCATGATCTCACCCCATGTGACTATTTCTTATGGGGTTACGTCTAGGAAGCTGTTTACGTCCTGCCTCTACTAGCAACTCTTTTTACTTTCCGCCTCTACCAGCAGCTCTGTTTACGTACGTACCGCCTCTACCAGCAACTCTGGTTGATCTGAAGAATCTTACAAGTTCTGCGGTGTACTCAGTAACAGATGATGTGCTTTCTTGTGAGTAGGGCGAGTTTAGACTTTGAAAATTAGAATTTTTCTCTTTCCATTGTTGTTTAAATTATTCATTTAAAATTTATACTTAAATAAATTTATTTAAATTGAGAATTTATTAATTTTTATTAATAAATTTATTTTTTTCTAATAATTTTTTTTGATTTTTTTTATTAAATAATTTATTTTTTATTAATGAATTTGAGAATTTATTAAATTGAGTCTATCATTTAGAATACCCTGTACTGTACACCCCAATATTTAAAAGTGAACTCATACAGTGTTGGGCGATTCAGGAACATAATATACATGATATACCAAGTTCTTATCATCCATGTGCCAGTCTCTGTCCACAGCTTCAATCCAATACTGTTGGTGATACAGCAGCGACTAAATACGTCTTTAATGAACAGTGGAAATCATTCAACAGCATCTTTCGAAACCAATGAATTTAATCAACAAATGAATCATTTGTTAGATTCCCTATGCCATGAAGGGGCGGTATGCTAGGGCGCTCACGTGCCCAAGAGGTGCGGCAGGGCCGCCGCGAAGTGCCTGAAGTTCAGCACGGCGCGCGGGATGTCGACTTTGGCCGCGAGCCACACAGGCTTGCCTTGGTCCCGGGACTCTGCCTCAGCGAACTGCTGCAGGCTCGCGTCCAGGAGATCGGCCACGCGCGTCATGTACTCTGCCCGCTGCGCGCACGACAACGCGCGCCACCTGCAACACCACTTCAGTTCATATCTATCCTAAACATTACTACACATTATTTATTGTTATAAAATGGGAGCAATGTGGAGATTTGTCTCGAGCCATCGGTGGTGACCACTTTTTTCAATAGATAAATAAACGTTATAAACAATACTGCATTTGTTACTTGCATCTAACTTGACCTTGTTGATTGCATTTTTTTCTTAAGAATTTTGCGAACAATATCAAACTGACATGGTATATTTTGTTCATGATATTTCAAGGTATATCAAATTTTTTCGTTGTTTTCTAAAAATAAGTAGATTTTTCAATTGCAAGCATTTAGCGAGGCTGCCCAAAAAAATTCATCGGCGTGCTGAATTAGTAATAATTTCTAAACTCACCCTGGCAAGGCCCGTGTCGCAGCATCGACAGCGGCATTCACTTCGTCAGAACCTGAGTCCGGAACATTGATCTCATGGACGCCCGTGGCAGGGTTCACGCTCCGTATCCACGGTCCCGACCACGGCTCGAATTTCCCGTCGATGAAATTCTGCAGTTCTTGAACGGCTGCAGCCATGGCGTGCGGTGATGATGTACAAGCAAGCTGGAAGAAATGCATGGATCGTTTCATTTGCAATTGGTATTGGATATAAATTATTATCTTTTAATCATCAGGCATCTGCCACCAATTACTTTAAATTTTCATGATAGCTTAGTTTGATAGCTAAAGTAGTTTTTGATAGTTAAAGAAAGATTATCGTCGAGCCCAGCCGATTCAACAACGGTTGAAATAATACCAAATATAGTTTTGACCCAAAAACTCCCAATCTCCAACAATATAGTGACAAGAAATTATCGCTTTCAATATCTGACACACTGCACTATAGATTTAGAACAGTAACCAAAATATTTTACATAAAAGTAAAGTAATACAGCTATAAACGTTAAATAAAGTATTTCCACGAAAGTAACGTACAACCGCGTGAATTTTCAGTAAGTAAATGGCCATTTATTCTGAGATGATCATGGACATCAAAGAGGAATAATCCATGTGCAAAACGATGTATGCACGGCGACCGAATTCATTGAATTAAGAGCCACGTAATTCTGGGGGTACATGATTCTTACGTCGACCTATATTTTAAGAGTTCATGATTATGGCGTTGAAACATAACTTCGACGTTGATTAATTAATGCTGAAGTTGACACAACACTCTCGAGCTGGATGAAGGCTAATTTACAACGGGAGTGTTGACCGATGACAATGGTTACGACGGTAACCAATAGTTCTAGTCATGACATAGAACTATGGCGTCAATATAATATCAAATAATAGAATGGATCCAAAATCCGGTTCTGCGGTTGCGAGTAATTAGAAGGTCATGCATCCGTACTAATACTAACGACATCATGACGTTCATACAGGAAAAACGACATTGCTGGACTCAATAATTACAAAATAAAAATCCGTAACCCGCGATTGACAAGGTTGGTGTAGAAGGTTTTAAGGATGTCTGAAAATTACAGGCGATAATTGGCATTAATAAATAATTGCGATGAGCTGATTTACCCAAAAGCCACATGATGAAATCATTCCTTGGCAAGGCAGGATTTGTCTTATGGGCGGCGGCTTCTGTCGTATTTCGTCTGCATATGGCCAACATGCAGTGATTAAATTTATTAGAGTGATGCATGTAAATTATAATCGTAAAAAGTTTCTCTTTGGGAGGCAAGAAATTACCAAATTAAAATTTTTGCACACCAAGGCTAAAAACCATGTCATTAGAAAGAATAAAACAATGCTAAAATTATAAACTAAGCCCACAAACAATATAAAACTTATAAATTGAGCCTACAGTCGCAAACTTGTAATTGAAATCTACATCTTATGCAGCTTGCAAGTTTCTGTAAAAATGAACATTTGTGATGCTGTAGCCTCGAGGCTAACTAGCCTACTAGGCTACTACTGTTTATGTTTTTATAAGGTCTCGCGTTGAAAATGAAAGTCTTATGGTTTTACCTAAACAAATACCCATACAAAAAACACAAATCTTCCTAGCAATATAAGTCTCTGCCTACCCTGGAGTCAAGACTTACTTTTTGGAGTACGGTGCGTGCGGGCAGCGGTGGTGAGTGTAGCTACTTGCTGTTGCCGCTTGGAAGAACCTAATAGATATCGACAGACGTTATCAATGAATACTGTATCAATTTTGTTACTATTAGGGCACCTGCTAAACAATCCTGAAAATGTAGTTTTGTGGCCTAATATCGGTCACTGCTATGCTGTCTCATTTCCAATCAGTGTCAAGCAATCTTTCGCCAGTTAACGCACCCTACCTCAATCGCTGGTGGTTGGCAACTGGCGGTGGCGTGCAGGCAACTTCGCAGCATGTGTCGAGTGTCGACTCCTTGTCCGCACCAGCCGTTCGGCTGGTGCGGAATCTGCGCCACAAAGCCACACTCCGGCTCCAGATGCATTCGCCAAACCGGTTTGGAGTCGGTATGATAAGGCAACCCGAAAGTCGTGGGGACAACAAAGGAAATTAGGCTGGTTTTACATGTTTCTCTTACACGTGAAGTCAGAGGCGTATGCCTGTAATTTTCACAAGAAAATTTTGCGTGAAAATTGTGGCTGGAGATATTATTGGACCATCATTGGTGTGAAAAGAATATTGCACACATCATGTTGAGTCAAAAATAAATTTCATGTTTCTTCTAAGGTAAAGGACATTCTTTTAGATCTTCTGTGAACAAGTCACGAAACTTACAACAATCGGCGACAGACCACATCAGGCCTACTATTCAGCGCCGACATCACTACGTTATTTTATGTTATGTTATGTTATGTTATGTTATGTTATGTTATGTTATGTTATGTTATGTTATGTTATGTTATGTTATGTTATGTTATGTTATGTTATGTTAGTTTACATGCACTAGTTGACTGTGCATCTTCAAGTTTACATGCACGAGTTGATTGCTCGCCTTCATCAGCCTCTCACAGCTTGTGATCCATGTTTCATCTACTAAATTTTGTAACTTATTTGTGAAGAATTTTTTTCATATATGAGATAAATTATTAGTGTGCGTTTGCGTTCAGTAATCTTAATATTGGCGCGAAAAGAACATCATGTTGCTTGCTCATGAGAATCATTGTTTAATTTGTTGGCTACATATTTAGTACTCGAGTAATTATTTCGATTCACTTGAAGGCCTCAATTTGAGTTCTACGATTCTAGATTGACGCAACTCAATCACAGACCTGTGAGTATTCAAAATTCCTAACTAAATTTTGCTAAAATTGCCCTGAAACTTTCGTGTTGAACGTTTTTTACTAAAAAGAAAACACCTGCGAAATGTTTTAATTTTTGTTAGCGATTTCACTTCGTTTCTCGACCGAAACAAGGTAAAAGATGCGACACGTGTGGTGCTGGAGCTTCTCAAGCAGATCGAATAAAAAATTAAGCACAGTAACTGTTCATTATTTAAAGTATCCCTATATTCCTCATTGACACTCATTCAAGGCATATAGGATACTTTTTTCTTCGTGTTAAGAAAAAGTTTAATGTTCAAAACTCGCAGGCAAATTTTTACTGATTTGTTAACGGAACATGGTTTATGAAATATTTCCGTCTTGATGGAAGGTAATTCAATGAGAGGGAAAAAAGCCAAAGTTGACTGAGGTCACTTGAAGCTATACAAGACTTATTCAGACTGCCTGCGCTGGCGACCCCTCTGGCCTTGGCTGCATTGCACATAACTGAAGGTTGTTCTACCTTTGTAAGTTCTAGAACGATGGCAAAGTGACTTTACTCGAACAAAAGTAAAATGCCAGTATTCAATGATAAACACAATACTTCTTCTTAATCATTTTTGATCGAGCAATTTTTTTTTGAGACGAATGCAATGAAGTTTGGTCTGTTCGGCAAGCATATCATCATTTACGCTACATTTATTGTTTATGTTACTTTAATTGTAATATCATAAACATTAAACTTAGCGAAACTAGAAATATCGCAATGTGTATTTGCCAAATAGAAAGAGCATATGAGTACTGCGATTTCTAAACGTTTCCTACTGTTGAAAAATATGAACTAATTTAACCCAGGAGTCTAAAGGTGAGCCTAGTATTCTTGTCATTCCTACGCTATTTGGGCACATATTTTAGCCTTTTCTAAATCTATTTTCCTTTTATTTTGTCACTTCTTCAGCTGGAAATCGCTCTGGCCATGGACAAATGCAGTCGTAAACTTTGAGAATCTCTCAAATCCAATGCAAATGTTGAGGTAAGTACTACGAAAACATTTGAACATTGCTCAATGATTCAAATGCTCTGATTTTGCTGCAATACTATTCGACGTTAGTAATAAATCGAGTAAAAGTGTAGGAATCTACAAGATCGAAGAGTCGATGAAGCGTGGCCACTGGAGCGTGTGACACGCCCCCTTGCGGGCTGCCTGCGCAGTGCGTCAGTGAAATGGAGAGTGACCGTTGAGTCGGTGCGGCGCTAGTGTTGTTCATCGGTCCAGTCAGTGTCGGGTGGAGACAGCGAGCATGATGGTAGTGTTGGTGTGAGTGCACGCTAGCGTGGATGTGTTCTCTACTCATCTCTTCTCTTGTCGAAAATTTAGAGAATAAGTTTTGGTTATGGTGCTTTTAACCCTTCTTCTTTTTTGCATGAGTGCAAGAACAGGGCTCGCACAGAATGTTTATCACAACCAGTTTGCCGTCCGTGTTCCTCTTGGATTGCAAGCTGCAAATGACGTCGCCAAAGAACATGGATTTATCAACATTGGACAGGTAATTTCTCTTAGAGATTTCATAACAAAAATATAAATAAGTCAGTTTTACGATTTGAGCGTTCTATCTGACATGAATATGATTCATGTCACACACGCTTTGTTTTCAAGTAAAGTTGTCATCATCATGGGAGTTTACCTTGAATTCTAGCTCTAGGTGAAAGAGGTTGGAAATTCTGCAGTTGCCTTGACCCATCTATTTGGGAAAAAATATTCGGGTCGACTGTAAATCAGCTGTTGCCATGAGTAGAGTGACCTTTTTTGAAATATCAAGATGGTTTCGTGTATAAAGTATAATTTGTGTAATAAAAGCGTCAACGACGACAGCGATTCATGTCTATAACATATATTTCTGCGTTGTCACCTTGCAAATTCAGACAAATTTGGTTCAAATGGCGTGAATGCCCGGCACTTAAGTATAATAATAAGAATATCATACAAATCGAGTGCGTACCCCTATTCGTTGACAAACGCTTGACTCCGTCCTTTGATAACCAGAAATGTATGATTGCGCTATCATAACAGCGTGTCGTCCGTAGACTCAAAGATCACATAAGAAGCCTCGGCACTTCAGATAAGAAAACAATAAACGAAGTATTTGTATAAGCAAAGTCTTATTCGGTACTGCCGATAACTGGCGACAAGGAAAGAGGTCACTCGAAGATACTGTAAAAATGTAGAACTTTTCTTTAGCGCTATTTCATACATTGGTAATGTTATAAAACCTCAATTTGCTGGCAAACGTCAGGTCATATCAGTGTAGGTGCTGCAAATGTATTGCTTGCGACGGTCAACCTCGCACTTGCTTGTGAATTTTGTCTTGGGAATGTTCACTTCAGCGTAGAAAATATTCTTCGGATCATTTTATTCGTATTCATCACCGTTTCGTTTCTCTACATACGATAAACGGCACTTTCATTCGAGTTTATTCAATCATTCATCAATATATCGTCTAGAAATAAGTACAATATATTCCTGTACAATAAACTTTTCCGATGTGCAAAGCAATTTATGCTCATGAGTGTTGAATCTTCTATACAGAGAAGATGGTACTAATTTTTGCACTCATTCATATTTTCGCAGACGGACGAGGCATGAGTTATGCCTTATAGCTTTGCATAACCATAAGTCGAGCATTCATGTTACGGCTCTCTGAGTAGCCCATTCATGTTCATAGCTCCCACTTAAGGTACTGACCGCTCATGCAAAGTTCAAAGTCTGCATCGTCTCTGTTGACCAATAGTAACGTGATCTCTCATCTGATCTTCTATGAGAGGAGAATCAACCATCAGCGATATTAAATTTACACTGTGACTTGCACAGCGCAGCGAGAATATCATATATGAACAGCAGTATTTTTGGCTGGGCCTTCAGCACAAACTCAACATCCTGTGTGAGCTATAGAGTTTTATAAATTTATATATTGGATCTCTGTCATGTACGACTTTTGTGTGCATAAAACGAGAGAGAAAGTTCAATCAAGGCAGAAAATCGTTATTGTTGAGCATATTAGGCATGAAAATTATCTGTTGAAGCTCGGAAATGATCAGTATCCTGAAATTATCTTGTAGCCATAGCCTCACTACATTACATTTAGTAAATTTCCAATTCTCCTTATTGACGTGAGCTCAAAGCTCCTAACTATATAAATTCAATGTCATCATTGATTTATTTTGTTTATCAAGGGAGTTTAATTCCGGATTTTGCTCTGGTAGGCATTGACATAAAGTTTAAAAACTGCCCACAAATTCTGCACTTTGTGCTGCAAGAGTGAACACCGCCCCGATATGGTTGGTCAGATATTTTTTGATTTAGTGCGTCGGCAAGCAATTCGTCGGTGCTCCGGCGTCCTTGATAGCCTAATATTGGTTGAAAATGTGGCGGTGATCCAAATAAATACGTAAATTAATTGTCAATAACATAAATTAAGATATCGCTTCTGCCGTTTATTCTTTATTTTGTTCGTGAGTTTGAGGGCACCGTACTTTCGATTGAAGTTATTTAGTGAACCCACAACGCGTGCGGTGCTTCGCTAAACGCTCGCTCGCGTGACTCGATGGCCCTCGTGATGCAACCGCTCGTTCTTGAACTTTCGATTTGGCTGGTCGTGATTTGCGCTTTCGGTTGCGTTGTTTTGAACGAATTTCAAGAATCAAGATACACGTTTGCGTACCGTTCATGACACGAGCATCCCTAGCAATGTTTCTTCGTACACGTGCTTCTAAAAATGCAGGAGTTTAGGTCTCTGGTCATCAACGTGTGGCAATGATCGTCAAGGCCATGTGCCTGCCTCACACGTCAACTTCTCACGTAGTTAAACAGAGTAAGAAAAATCTTGTTCATGTATAGTTTGAAACATTTCCTTATACTGTACCGATTTTATAATTAAAAGTGACGGCTTGCAAATTTCGGCCCTTGCATCATAAAGTGGCATTAGTTTAATGCTGCTTCCTGCGCGCTTCATTAGGATTCCATTTACTTTGTGAATACTGTACTCGTTTTAAGGTCAAGGGCCTCTATTGAGCCACGCCTGCATAATCAAACCTGTATAGATCACCTCAAGCCTCCTGCTTCAACTTCAGGCCCGACTCTTCACCTGAGTTGTTGAAAAATAATTATGATGTCCAATCGAGGAAAAGAACTGAAATGCATGAATCATTAATCTAAACTTTACAAGACTATTTGTAATTTATTATCAATTTTACTGCATTATTGAGCAGAGCAGATAACTTGAAAATATTGTGAGTGTTCGGGACAAATTGCTTGGTGCTTTGATTAGAATCAATAAGATCGATCCAAAAATTCTATATGCAATTGTGAGCTCAAATATTTGTTTTGCGTTTTGTTTAAACCAAAAATATTGTGTTATACAGTTGCTCTGTTTCAGGTAATTAAATAAAACGAAAAATGTATCAATCATGGAAAATATATGTGTTGTATATTTGTAACAATCGAAGTAAAAGATGTCAATGAAACCGATGAAACTTTATTTGAACGACAAACAAAGTTGATGCACAGCGCCCAGTAGAAAATGATAAACTCGGTAGTTGTTCGCACTGAAGGGAAAAATCACTGACATCTGTACCGGTAAAGTGGGTAATAGTTAATTATAGCAATATTTACATTCAAAGAAATGGATGACTGTTACAAGTTGTATCTCTTTCTCTCGATCATCACCATAAGAATGTGGATTACAGATCACAGTAATTTAGTAGCCGGTTAAGAAATAACAACAATAACAGTTTAGCTTAATGTGTTAACAACAACAAGCAGATTAAGGTCGTCCCGAACATGCGAATAGCGAGTAGCGTATATACATTATTGATATTAATCAATAATAAATTTTAACACCTTGATACTCTCGGGTGTGCCAGCCCCCTCTCCTCCCAGTTATAGTTATCTATAACTGCTATAAAAAAACGTTGGAATTCGCTCTTCTGCGACCGAAAACGTTCCAATTTCTTCGCCGGAAAAGGCAAGCAAAAGTAGAGTGGTCTGCACTGGGACAAGCATCGGTGTTTGTATCGTGACCGAACCTTTGGTGTTTGCAAACATGATCCGAAATGTCGTATGTTCCAGCGAAAATATTTTTGACCGGCAGGATGCGTCTTTACGTGAGCCATGCGCTCAAACATGACATGCACAAGATCAATATATTTCGCACTAATATTGGTACAGTTTCAGTGACAGTTAAATAACCAAGCGATCAACTTTAACGCATTGATATTATGAACAAACGAGTTTGATGTTCACCTTATCTGCAGTTAAATATGTGTATGTGTTTCAATGAATATAAGATTGCGATGTGGTCAATAACGAATAAAACGATTACGAGAATAATGTAGCTTGGTCATGGTCGATCATTTCAGCAGGGTCGACCACATAAGGAATAACCCGCCATCTTGTATCATGTTATCATGCATCGTTCCGTAACAATCATGTAACGAGACAATCGCATGCATCGTTCAGTAACAATCATGTAACGAGACAATCGCATGAATCTTTCCGTAACAATCATGTAACGAAACAATCGCATGCATTGTTCCGTAACAATCATGTAACGAGACAATCGCAGGCATCGTTCCGTAACAATCATGTAGCGAGACAATCGCATGCATCATTTTGTAACAATCATGTAACGAAACAATCGCATGCATCGTTCCGTAACAATCATGTAACGAAACAATCGCATGCATCGTTCCGTAACAATCATGTCTGTCTCTTATACACATCTAGATGTGTATAAGAGACAGGTTCAGTAACAATCATGTAACGAGACAATCGCGTGCATCGTTCTGTAACAATCATGTAACGAGACAATCACATGCATCATTTTGTAACAATCATGTAACGAGACAATCGCATGCATCATTTTGGAACAATCATGTAGCAAGACAATCGCATGCATCATTTTGTAACAATCATGTAGCGAGACAATCGCATGCATCATTTTGTAACAATCATGTAGCGAGACAATCGCGTACATCAATCAATCGCGTACAATATTTCACCTTGTTATCGTTGAAATTGCACAATACGGAAATGATGAAGCAATGTTTACAAATTAGGATTTGAAAAAATCATGGAACTTCCTGCAATCCAGAAGCGATCAAAATCTCATATCAACACCAAGTTAATACTTGAAATATTCGAGACGATACGTCAAAACGATAGAGGATCATTAGGCTATGTGCATCCTAGTGCTGCATACTAATGTTATTTTAATTAATTAATCTTCAGAGCTACTAAAGGCCGTTCAGATTAAAGTCCGGTAAAGAAATCCAATGTCTAAGCAATACAAAAAATACTTCTGTGTTTTCTTACAGGGTTAGAGGGATTTGTAGTAGAAATTAAGCGAATTTCCTGCAAAATTCTTGTAATTGTTCCTTTTAATTTAGGGTATAGGCACACGGAAAGACGTGATAGTAAAGTTATTGCATATCATTGCAAGACAGCACATAGAATATGATCGTAACTAAAGATATTTTAGCTGAACCTTATCATGTAGTGCGGTGAATGAATTTTCGTAATCTTCACTCATCTTTTACATTGTTAGATACAAGTCTTTTTGTTGCAAGCAAGCTGCTAAGCATCTATGATTGAGATGTGTGCTGTTCACACATCTCATCATCATGTTCAACAAAGTTCATTAATGTCGATTAAATATATTGCACGCAGATTAATCATTGAATCTAGACGGTTAATAATATTAAATCAAGAAAATCTAATTCTTTTCGTAATTGAACAGTATTTTTTTATAGTTGGCAGCAGTTTCCTTTTCATATTATGAATCGTATTTGAAATAGAGATTCCGCTTAGCAGCAACACGTTATAGTTATCATTTAGGGTCAGAAAAATTGGTACTGCATCTCCGAAGAAAATACTGAATTTGCCACAACTAATGTCGTTTGTGGTTTTAAATAATTTTAAATGTTATTGCGGCATCGTTCGTTTACGTCGTTAGCCTACAAATCACCGAGTCGTTGAGCATCATTTGCACTTGAGAGCACGCGGCGTTACTGCGCTCAGCCGCGGCAGAGCTACATTCAGTCGTGGCAGAGCTGCATTCAGCCGTGGCAGAGCAGCGCTCAGCCGTGACAGAGCTGCATTCAGCCGTGGCAGAGCTGCATTCAGCCGTGGCAGAGCTACATTCAGCCGTGGCAGAGCTGCATTCAGCCGTGGCAGAGCAGCGCTCAGCCGTGGCAGAGCTACATTCAGCCGTGGCAGAGCTGCATTCAACCGTAGCAGAGCTGCATTCAGCCGTGGCAGAGCTCCATTCAGCCGTAGCAGAGCTGCATTCAGCCGTGGCAGAGCTGCACTCAGCCGCGGCAGAGCTGCATGCAGCCGTAGCAGAGCTGCATTCAGCCGTGGCAGAGCTGCATTAAGCCGTAGCAGAGCTGTACTCAGCCGTGGCAGAGCTGCATTAAGCCGTAGCAGAGCTGTACTCAGCCGCGGCAGAGCTGCACTCAGCCGTGGCAGAGCTGCATGCAGCCGTAGCAGAGCTGCATTAAGCCGTAGCAGAGCTGTACTCAGCCGCGGCAGAGCTGCACTCAGCCGTGGCAGAGCTGCATGCAGCCGTAGCAGAGCTGCATGCAGCTGTAGCAAAGCAGCGATCGCCATATGCGGCAGCAGAGGTGGCAGTGGTGGTCAATTTTACCTCCTAGATCGAAGGCCACGGGGGAGCTCGAGTTACTGCCATGGCATTTGTTGGCTGCTACAAACCTCTACGATTAACTGAGTTGCCTCGCGCCAAAACCTGTTATCGAAAATTTATTTTGTTAGTAATTCAAGTTCGGTTCAAGTTAGTAATTGTTATCGACGATAACAAAATTACGATTCGGATCAGGATCTTTCAAGCAGAATGCGTTTACAGTAACGCGCTTCACGTCAGGCGTTTGCAGCTCGCATGTTTTCAATTTTTGATGAAAAAACAAAGCCAAGTGCGACCTTTCGTTCACCTACGTGTCTCCTCTGAGGAATTCAAGGATACGTGCTGGTATAGGATCGAACGAACAGGCCTATGAATGCAGTATAGGCTGATCCTTCGAGCTGATATGACAACCGTCGTGGCTAAACAGGTTCTATTATCTTCCTCTGAATACACTCCCGACCGGTCCTCCTATGACCCTACCAGTTCTTAATTGCGCTCTCAAGGTTTGCTTAAATTACTTAATTATTCATTACAATTATTGTGGATTGGCAAAACAACATTAGAGGCCCTAATAAATATAATATTATTGTTACAGCTGAAGCTCTTTCGAAGTATAGTGTTGAAAATTCTTATTGTTTCAATCACGAAAGCGGAGCTAGTGAACACCGTAACTCTGCTAGCACAAAATGTACTTCAATGTTTAACTAAAAAAGGCCTCGAGTATTAGGCTAAATGAGACCTCAAGTATATAGCTAAAGTTAATCGCAAGCAGTTAACCTTAAGGTTTCAAGTAGTAAGCATAATAGGGTTAAAGTTTTAGTTAAACGAGACCTTAATTACGAGGCTAAAGTAGGTCTGTGATTTTTCATTGATGTAGATCTGAGGTAGTTGATTAGCGTAGGCCTGAGGAATTGATTAATGTAACCCTGAGGTGTTTGATTAATGTAGGCTTCAGTATTTGATTATCGGAAGCCTGTGGTATTTGATATATGTAGGCATGAAGAATTGATTAACATAGGCCTGAGGAATTGATTAATGTAGGCCTGAGGCTGTTTATTATTATAGGCCTGAGAAATTGATTAATGTAGGCCATGAGGTAGTTTGTTAATGTAGGCCTGAAGTTTTCGAATAAATTAGGCATTATGGATCAGGGCAAAAGGAAGCCATAATTTGCTGGTGCTAAGGAAGCCACCAGTTGCTTCGATTGGGTTAACTTAGGCCTCAAGTATTAGGCGTAGACGTCAAGTATTAGGCTAAAGTTTGTTTCACACACCAGGCGGATTTGCCTCAGGTATTATGAATGCTTAACTAGACCTCAAGTATGAGGAAAGTGGGCTTCATATCCTGGACATAATATGGTCTCGTGTGTTACACTAAAATGGGCGCAAATAAGAGTTCTGTTAGATCGTAATTAAAGTTTAACTGGTAGTTTTAACCATCTGTTTATGTGTCAGTGATTTCTTGGTTATTTATGTGAAAATTTAGTTAATTTTGGTTTTGGTTCTACCACGCTATATGATACCCACTCCTCCAATAAAAAGCAATCAACCATATTCCCAGATAGAACAAATAATTTTATTCAATTCGTAAATTCGAAAAATCATAGTGAATCGTTATTATCCTGCCATCAATTGGAAAAATCTGATAATCCAGATTAGATCGTTATAACCACGTCATTAGAGTCCCTGCACGACTCTATATGTCGTCAACAACCTCTACTCCATAATACACACCACGTCCATCTGATTGTCGAGTTACCCAAGGCTTGTGGAGGCCTAAAATAAAGTATTTCCCATTGGTATTAGGTACAATCGCCTTTAATGTCCTTGACATTCATTCATCGAGTGTGAAACGAGATGTGGAACGCCCCTGACCGCGTGATCTACAGGACGAGGAAGTGAGATGCCAGCACCATGACGCTGTCAGCGCCATGCCGCGCATACTAAGCTATTGCTGATTTATTGCTTATATCCTTAAGAATTATTGCATTTTGGTGCTGTTGCCGTCTTAGATATGGGAAATACATCCTGATTTCTAGTAGATTTAGAGGTTTTTCGATATTTCTGAGAATCTTGCGCTGCTGCAAACGACGGTTCCTTCTAAGTTTTAGGAGCTAAAAATTTAATTCCTAAGTTTTTTGCCTTCCTTGTAGCCAATAAATGACCACCGAAGCGCCAGCCAACATTATTGCCGGGTTAGTCAGTTTTATTCATGTTGAAACTTTTAATTGACCGATATTTGGCTACTATGTAACTGATGGCTGTGAGAATCCATCTAATTATTTAACGAAAAGTTCGCACCCAAACCAAATGACCGAGCCAGAGCTAATATAAAAATTGCTGAAAAATCCTTGATAAAAATCACTAAATCATAAAAATTGCTGAATAAATCCACGATAAAAATCCCCGAAACATAGTCTGGTCGCATCGCTGCCGAGCGATTGGACAGGCCGTTTAGCCCAGCGTTTTTCGACTCAACTATTTTTATTGCGATTAAACCTATGAAAACCGACTTTTCCTTGTCAGTAATTGCATTTTGCTCAAATAAGATCGTCCGACACTTTCTCATTCGTCAGCTATAACATTTTGTTTTAATGAGGTCACTTAACATATTTATATATATATATCTTAATCATTTTTTGCATATATCATGCTCACTGTTCATGCTTCACATGTATCATGCTCACAGCTCATGCTTCACATGTATCATGCTCACTGTTCTTGCTCCATTTGTACATGATTTTTGTTCCATATATATATGATTTTTGTATAAAACACCTGAGTTAACACGCACAAGATTATCACAAAATTAAGTAGAACTCATGCGTCCCCTTACCTCGTGATTAAAAATAACCTAATAACGACAGAGTACAGAACATCTCTAAATGAAGTCACGTAGCAGGTGATCAGAAACCTAAATTGTAAATACAAGTAACTTATCTTGAAACAAATAATGTATTGCTTCCGTTCCCTTCCAATTATTCTTATATATCATGCTCACAGATCATGCTGATCATGTATAATACTCAGTTCATGCTCATTGAAACCATGCTCACAGTTGTTGCTCATTGAAACCATGCTCACAGTTGTTGCTCATTGGAACCATGCTCACAGTTGTTGCTCATTGGAACCATGCTCACAGTTGTTGCTCATTGAAACCACGCTCACAGTTGTTGCTCATTGAAACCATGCTCACAGTTGTTGCTCATTGGAACCATGCTCACAGTTGTTTCTCATTGGAACCATGATCACAGTTGTTGCTCATTGAAACCACGCTCACAGTTGTTGCTCATTTAAGCCACGCTCACAGTTGTTGCTCATTGAAACCACGCTCACAGTTGTTGCTCATTGAAACCAAGCTCACAGTTGTTGCTCGGGCAGATCGGTTCGCTGGAGAACTTCTTCCTCTTCGAGCACCCGCATGTCCACAAGCGCTCTGTGGACGCCGCCCACCACCACTGCTCCAACCTGGGCGACCATCCGCACGTGAGCCTCTAGTGACCATAGCAATAAAGTGGAGAGCCTCTAGTGACCATAGCAATGAAGTAGAGAGCATCTAGTAACCATAGCAGTAATATGGAGAGCCTGTAGTAACCATAGCAATAATGGAGAGCCTCTAGTGACCATAGCAGTGACTTGAAGAGCCTGTAGTGACCATAGCAGTGCAATGGAGGGCCTCTGGTAACCCATGGTTGAACTATATAGGGTTGACCCACGAGGATTTCCGACTTTCAGTTCAGCTTTCTTGTTACGTCACTGAGATCGTGTAACGTAAACAATCCAGTCATTCCAACGACGGCTTGGTTGACTGGTTTGATCGCATTTCAGTGATTGGTTAATGCCCGTGACGTCACTGAGATCAGTGACGTCACAGGCAAACAACGAACTACATTCGCGAAAATGAGCTTCTCATGGGTCAAACTTATACTAGTTCGATCATGATGGTGACCATAGCAATAAAGTTAAGAGATAGCATTAATTGGAGGATAGTAATGTAATACATTACTTTTTGTTGGAATGGTGAGATGTGGGAGGCCTTTTTAAATAAATAGAATGTTAATGGCGATAGGACGATAGAAATGTAGTAGAGTTATTTGCTATAGCAATATTGCAGTGCTAACTCGATAGCAATGCTTGCATGTATAAAATTTTTTTTATACTGGAATTATAATAATATGACAACAATGGTGTAGATGTAATTTAAGGCTGTGGAGGTTTATTGAAATGCTTACAACTATGCTAATATTTGATGAAATGTAATAGCTGTAAAGACTAATATATCAGTACCAACAACAATATAGCTGATATGATAATAAGTAAAAGGTTATTGCACGGTTTGTATTACGATATGCAAAGTTGCCTGCATTCCTCAATGTTGATATTGTGTTGATTGCGTTGTCAGGCTTGTACTTGTGGGCGGGTGTAGAGCTCGGCCATGTACGAGGATAATTTTGTTTGTCGGTATGAGTGAATATTTGGCCAGTACGATGTTACGAACCAACACTGGGTTCTTCAACGCCTAAAATTTGAAAATTTAGAATGTTATAATCATATATATAATTTTCTTGATAAAAATCAGAAATTAATGTCTGAAATCGTGTTCCAAATAATTTCTTGCATACTTAGTACTTGGTAAATTGATAGCTAGAGTCTCTTCTTTGCAAGCCTAAGCTGTCGCCTAGGACCTAAAGCACCAGACTGGAGGACGAGGGTGGCGAGTGAGACTTGAGAGAATCTCAATGGGCCGTCACTAGCCCAGCACTGGAACTTACACCAACATCGTAATGTGATGCTCAAACTTGCACCAGCATCGTCATGTGCTGCCCAAGCTTGCACCAACATCGCCATGTGGTGCCCAAGCTTGCACTTTCAAACTTATGTGATGCCTAAATCTGCATCAGCATCGTCATGCGATGCCCAAGCCTGCATCAGCATCGTGATGTGATGCCCTGACACATCAAGAGAGGCGTTCGTTCAAGGATGATCAAGTCTCTGATCTCCAGCTAAGGACATCGAAAATACAGGATTTTTCTGGATTTCAACATTACTTGTGGAAGCATTTTTAACGCTAATGCGATAAAAAAAAATAATAATACCCAAGGGTTTCTATATATAACAAAATGCATAGCTCGACGTCGCCCTTGCTTGTTAATCTCTATATAACTTGCATCGTAATCACTTATTCCTTATCCCGTAAATAGTAAGGAAGCTGATGTGTGCTAGTTAGAGAAAATAATTTTAACCCGCATCAACGCATATCAATATCTTAATCAATATCAATAATAGTACTCTACCGACGCATGACAAAACAAGCAACACAATTTCAACGCATGACAAAACAAGCAACACAATATCAACTCATGACAAAACCACCCCTCACAATATCAACGCATGGTGAAACAACCTACACCATATCAACACAACAACTCTGTATCAATACACAATACTTCCAACGCGCGATCAGCCCAGCACAGTATACAGGGAACTGCATGCATGCACTCGAACTCGTCACGCGCTGCAGTGTTTTTCGGGTCAAAAAAGTTTTTCGGGTCTGGGCAGTTGAAGGGTTCATAAGTACACTAAGAGAAATCAGTGAAATTTTATCCGAATAACGACAAACTTTTGCCCTTGTGTGGTTCGTAATGACAAAGGGCTCGGCAAAAGGCCCTATGAGTACTATGTACAGAAAGTGGGTAACAATTGTAACAGTACGACTTATTTACGCTTCTTCATCGCGCAGAATTTTACAAGCGATAGAATCACTGGTTTGTGTCAATTATTTCAGGAAAGGGATTTAAATTAATGCATTTTATCGCCTTGCGTTTACACATTTTCGTTTATAACTTCTCTGTTTCTTATGTGAGCAGTCACTCCGTATACATGTTAATTACAGTTACAACTTTCATCCACCCGACGATATGATTTTATGCAGGTGGATTGGGTGGAGCAGCAGGTGGAGCTGAAACGCGTGAAGCGTGACGGGCGCGATCTCATCACACCACCCGTAGAGGGTAACCACACCACAGCACCACCGCATGCAGAGGGTAACCGGACAGCACGGCAGCTCTTCAGCCTGAACACATTTCGCAGCCTCGGCCTCTTCGGACCTCCGCAACGCAACGGACGCCACGATGGGTTAGTGCCACCATTGCGGGAACTCCAAAAATGAACTTCGACATCTGTTCTTTGTCTCAGAGATATGCAGCGTTTTTACTGGAAGTTGTTTCATTATAATATTATTTGCGTGAAAGCTATCATTATTACGGAATTGGTGTTCTATTACGATTGATACAATTTAACACCAAATCGGATTCAACAATCATTTCCGTGTTTATAGTTAGACTGCAGAAATTGTCGGCGGGATACCTGTAGGGTAAATACGTTTTCTTTCACCTTTCTGTCGATTGAAAGGTACAAAGTTCTATTTAGAGCTCCAACAACCCTTGCGTATCATAAGAAGATAAACGTTAAGCCCAATGAGACGTGTTAAAATCCACTACAAACACAAGCCTCACTCCCCTAGTCTTTGAACCACAATACAAACGCACTAACCAACTACGAGTATTGAGGTAAAACGCTAGATTTCGCAGTGAAAGAATTATATTTTTGGTCTCCAGTTGGACTCTCGACAAGAGAAAACTCCTCGACGACACGAAACTTCCACGTTTCTTGCCATATGTTTTATGAATCTTGTGCTCTTCACATCTCAAAGTCCATTGGGAAGGTCAAAATGTCTCATTCTAAGTTGACTATAAGAGAATCTGGTGCCCATATGTGTCCACCTATAATATCCACAAAATACACGAAATGATAAATTAAAACTTCATCCTTAATCAACCCCCGGAAAAATAGTAAAATTTAATTGGGAGTATCTCAGCGTTTATCCCAGCATTATTTGTATCGTGCAGAGAGTATAACAAACGACCGAACTCAAGCCTTGGCAACCGGTAATGGGTCATTTCCTTGCCTAAACCATCGGTGCACCAAGGTTCAACAGCCATACGAACCATAACTTATAAACAAACATCAAATACGGAAGCTAAAACCAATGTCAGGCTAACGTGCTCACCCGACACAAACTGGAGTCCAAGAAACAATCTCGCAGTAATTTAAGTGCAATGTACAAAGTTTAACGACGACACAGTTCGAATTAATTGATGCATTGATTAGCGTTTACTAATTACAAAATTAAAATAAAAAATCACGTGCCGGTCGCTCCAAACGCTGATCGGTAATAAAACCGGGTACGAATACAATGCATTCGACTAGTCACCAACGTGAACCTGGAAAACAGAAGACGGAAGTATAGCGCAGCTAAAGCGTGTTATGCCTGTGCACGCAAATTTCCCAAACTGACTATTTTTTCCCATGCCGGCAGTTCTCAGATTTTATACTCGTTTAGACAGGTCAATGTAGTACATTTGTGCCTGTGCAGGCAGATCTCAGACTTTATACCCGTTTAGGCAGGTCAATGTAGTACATTTGTGCTGTGCAGGCAGTTCTGACTTCATACCCGTTTAGGCAGGTCAATGTAGTACATTTGTGCCTGTGCAGACAGTTCTCAGACTTTATACCCGTTTAGGCAGGTCAATGTAGTACATTTGTGCCTGTGCAGACAGTTCTCAGACTTTATACCCGTTTAGGCAGGTCATTGTAGTACATTTGTGCCTGTGCAGGCAGTTCTCAGACTTTATACTCGTTTAGGCAGGTCAATGTAGCACATTTGTGCCTGTGAAGGCAGTTCTCAGACTTTACGCCCGTTTAGGCAGGTCAATGTAGTACATTTGTGCCTGTGCAGGCAGTTCTGACTTTATTCCCGTTTAGGCAGGTCAATGTAGTACATTTGTGCCTGTGAAGGCAGTTCTCAGACTTTACGCCCGTTTAGGCAGGTCAATGTAGTACATTTGTGCCTGTGCAGGCAGTTCTCAGACTTTATACCCGTTTAGGCAGGTCAATGTAGTACATTTGTGCCTGTGCAGGCAGTTCTCAGACCCGCTGTACGGGCAACAATGGTACTTGAACCGAGGCGCCAACGGCGGCTACGACATGAACGTGGCGCCCGCCTGGCAGAAGGGCTACACCGGCAAGGGCGTTACTGTGAGCATCCTGGATGATGGCATCCAGCACAACCACCCCGACATCGCACGCAACTATGTGAGATGAATAATGCATTTCCAGTCATTATAAGCAACATCCATCACATCTTCCAAGCATTGCCAGAATTAATGTGAAATTAAGATTTTTTTCAAGTTATTATGGACTGCATCCAGCTCAAGGATGTTACATGACGATGAAAGAACTGAATTCAGAGTTCTGTTTTTAGTCCTCAACTCTTATTATTCCTTTGTCTACACTTCTTCAAATGAGGTCAGGGATGTAGTACTCTTGCTTGATCAATGGTTAAATTCTGTCACATATCATTCTAAATTACTCAATTCCGATTCTGCTTTCAATAGTCTTTGCACACGGCACAACTGCCTTAGACTTCTTCTACTTATTCGCGCCAGTAATTATTAAAGACATTTCTTAAACCCACCTCATTGAGATAGATGGTAAGCATTATATCAATGGGCTGATTGCTATAAGCGTGACATTATTATTATTTTAAAATAAATTTAAACACAGCTGTATCAAGTCCCCCCAACTATTTTCTATTGGTCTAACCTACCTGTGTACGTCTTGAATCTCCCGCCTTTTATACAGGACCCCGCGGCCTCGACCGACATCAACGACAACGACCCGGACCCCATGCCCCGCGACAACGGAGACAACCGCCACGGTACGCGCTGTGCCGGCGAGGTCGCTGCCATGGCCCACAACAACCAGTGCGGTGTTGGAGTTGCCTACAACGCTGGGATCGGAGGTAGGTGTTGGAGTTGCCTTCGACGCAAGTATTACCGGGTAAATTCTATCACATATTCTAAATTATTACTCAATTTCGATTCTGCTTCCAGTGGTTTTTTCATATGGCACATGGTAGCGGTTGCCTTCAACGCATGTATTGGCCAAGTATATAGAGCATTTGTGCAGTGCTTTAATGCGTTTGTTCCAAAGCAATGGAGTGCGTCACATAAACGGAGCGCACATTGGTCGCAACAAGGGAGTGGAATTTATGTGTTTCGAGCTCATCTTAAAACATTTTTGCATTGTTAATATAGATAGTAGTGGCAACATTTCAACATTTACAATAAGGCACACAAGAGAGCACGACTGCAGTTGGAGGCAGTCGGAGGCAAGAGCTCGGCAGCATTGATGAAGGCAGGCTGGTGATGCTTATATTCGTATCAGCGCTGCAATCCCTTTCACCAGGATACTTCTACGTATTTTGGAAATTATTGAACTCGCGGTCTTCCCGGCTACTGATGCCAAGCTACATCTTTAGGGAATTATCAAACCATTGGCATCGAATTAAAATGATGAAATTACATGTTATACTTTTTCAGAACCACGTTTGCAAAAAACGACCGCACACTGATACTGTGGTGATGTTTGAAAGTAGTCTCCCAATCGGCTTGAGATTAGATTCGTTGTCTGAACTAGTACTTCGGGATTGTTGCTTCTACTGTCATGCCGAATACTCACAAACAATAAAAAATCAATATGTAGGTATAATTGGATATAATGCAACATAATGTAGTGATGTCGGCGTTGGAGATTGGGCTATGTCTGACCTCGAGCCAATTCCGGACTTTTCTCAACTAGTTTCTGATTTCGCTGATTTCGATCATATTTTTCACATTTAGCTATGATTTTCGAACTAGCAACTCGCTACTCTCTAACATTGGTTATTTTAACTACTCAGTTAGCACTAAGCTATAGGAATATTACGCACAGAGCAGGTTCAATGGTCCCGCCCATTTTTGGTGTATAAGCAAAACACTGGAAATGCTACAAAAAAATGCAGCCAACAGGTGTTGACGGGCGTTCAGCTTATGACAGGTGTTGACAGGCGTGTTGTTAATGACAGGTGTTGACAGGCGTGCAGCTAATGACAGGTGTTGACAGGCGTGCAGCTAAAGCATCAGCGTGACCTTGGACTACGACGTCCTAAACTCATCATAAGGTCATAAGGTAAGGTCATAAGGACAGGCGTGCAGCTAATGACAGGTGTTAACAGGCGTGCAGCTAATGGCAGGTGTTGACAGGTGTGCGCATGCTGGACGGAACTGTCAACGACGCGGTCGAGGCGCGGGCCATCAGCCTCAACCCCAACCACATCGACATCTACTCGGCGTCCTGGGGCCCCGAGGATGACGGCAAGACGGTTGACGGACCAGGACCCCTCGCCAAACGGGCCTTCATCAACGGAGTCATGAGGGTGGGCTCAGGGATGAGGGTTATGAAATCGTCCTTGAAGAGGTCATGAAGGGCAGGGAGGTTATGAGGGGCAGGGAGGTTATAAGATCAGATGCTAGACAAGGTCACGAAGGCATGCGACGACAGGATTGTGGCAACTTCGACACCAGTCGCCTTTTGGTTATGGTTACTCTTCACTGAGCTTCAGTTATAAGCATTTTTATTTGATCTTTAATTATAAGTATTTTTCTTTGAGCGTAAGTTTTGAACATTTTAAAATTATAATCTTAGCTTTACTAGTCGGTGTGCATTTTTAATGGCGTTAAAAATTGCGACTGTATAAAAAAATCGCACACGAAAGTCAGTTTCCAATTTTTCCTCTCCAGGGTCGTTTCGGCAAAGGTTCAATTTTTGTGTGGGCTTCAGGCAACGGCGGCCGCCACACCGACAACTGCAATTGCGACGGATACACAAACTCCATCTTCACGCTCTCGATTTCGTCGGCGTCGCAGCGGGGGTGAGCGATATTGGCTTAACGGCGTCATACGACACCTTTTCGATGTGTGGCAATGCTACTCGATCCCGTAACAATCCCGTAACACCGGCAAGTTGCATTATTAACCATTATTGGTCATCATAGCGCCGTAACGCATGTAATCCCGTAACGCTGGTTTGCAGGATCAAGCCCTGGTACCTGGAGGAATGCTCGTCCACGCTGACGTCGACCTACAGCAGCGGCACGCCAGGCCTCGACCGCAGCGTCGTCACCGCCGACATGGACGGCGGCCTGCGCCCCGGCCATACCTGCACCACCGAGCACACCGGTCAGTGTACACCTGCACCACCGAGCACAACGGTCAGTGTACACCTGCACCACCGAGCACAACGGTCAGTGTACACCTGCACCACCGAGCACACCGGTTAGTGTACACCTGCACCACCGAGCACAACGGTCAGTGCATACCTGCACCACCGAGCACAACGGTCAGTGTACACCTGCACCACCGAGCACACCGGTCAGTGCATACCTGCACCAGCGTACACACCGGGCAGTGTACACCACCTTCACCGAGCACACCAGTCAGTGCACACTTGCACCACAAATAACTCTGGTCAGTGCATACCGGTACTAAAGATTACACCGGTCAGTGCATACATGTGACGTGCACGCAGGTCAGTGCTCCTCCTATCCATGCAGGGTTACGTCATGCAGGAGCGTAACTTCTTTCCTTCGTGCTTTACGTCACTCGGTCAAAATTACGTCACCCTGCACCAGGGGTGAGGCACACTATATGTCAGTGGTCCCATCTGTGCCAGGGGTGATGCGTATTATATCAATCAATGCAGTTCTGTAATGAGTTTGAGGCCCATTGACCGCATCAGGTAGAATATTAACTAGCACAAAATACTAAAAATACTTGCCTCCTTACGCACTTGACAAGGCCTCTTCGTGACGAGCAACTAACGCTGCTAACTCTGCAGGCACGAGCGCGTCGGCGCCCCTGGCGGCCGGCATCGTCGCCCTCGCACTGGAGGCGAACCCCGACCTGACGTGGCGGGACATGCAGCACCTCGTCGTGCGAGCCTCCAGAGTTGCTCCCCTGGCGCACGAGTCCGGCTGGATCCTCAACGGCGTCGGCAGGAAAGGTATGCCAGGATTTTCAGTCTTTACATACGAAGGGAATTACTTTAACCTCTTAAATGTACTTTTTTGCAATTTCGTAAGCAAGAGTGCAACTATAAGCGTATGGTGCATGCGTTGTGGAGAAACTTCAGCAGCGCGAATTAATGATTCTATTTAGAACATTAGATCACTGTAGGGATTATGCGCCTGCCCGCTGTGTAGAAGTAAATAAATTGAAAGTTTGACATTAAATGTTATTCCGCATTCCTGTTAGCACCGACAAGCGTCGCGTCAATTTGAATGAATTGATCTATCACCTGCTGCAACTACGTGCTGACTTTTTTAGGTTTAGGTTTTGCTGAATATTGTATGCTTCTTCATAAGCAAGGTGTCTTCGATGGCTCCATCATACTACAAATAATTTTTGAATGGAATATATCAATAGATGGATAAGGAAAAGAAACCCTGGTTTACTGCAAACAGCGATAAAATGAACATATTTTTTTGGCAGTGAGCCACAAGTTCGGCTACGGGCTGCTGGACGCAGGCAAGATGGTCGAGCTGGCAGAGCAGTGGACGACTGTGCCGCCCCAGCATGTCTGCCAGACGTCCATTAACTCCGCCAGCATGTAAGCAACTCGCGCTAGGTCATCTTCCCTGGTGTGCTGGAAATATTTTAGCTTTCACGATTAAAATATTTATTGAAATATTTAGATGTGTTTATTGAAAATTTGATGTCACCGTATTGTATCACATGGCTGTCACTCTCACCTGATACGTCTTCATGTCTCGCTCCCTTGAGTTGTCAGCGTTCGTGGCCATCACGCCCATCTGAATCTTTCGAGGATGTTGAAAACATAAACTTCAAGAGAAAAACCACGCAGACAGCTAGATTTAAAAAAAGCTATAACGACTGTAACAGATACCGTCGCAAATGCAAACGATTACTTTTATTTGTGTTGGCAAAGCGCAGAGACTCAGCCTCACAATATTAGTGGCCATATAATTGAGGTAATTATCAGAAGAAGCACAAACTTTCCAATCATGATTGTTTCATGTTTAAAAAACGATTTTTTTTGTCATCTTGAATCGTATAAACTTTTGTGTGTCACCATGCATCTCCCTCAAACTATGCGCTTGAAGACCTCTTAAGTCTGACCTCCAAAAGATTTGCTCCATCAGCGTCAACTCATAATGTGAGCTCCATGAACTCTGCCGCCCTCAGGACGCTGGGCACGGCGCACGGGGCCTCGGTGACCTCCGAGATCAGCACGGGCGGGTGCGCGGGCACCAACGGGGAGGTGCGGTACCTTGAACACGTCCAGGCCAAGGTGTCCCTACGCTTCTCCCCTCGTGGCAACATCCAGATTAAACTGATCTCGCCCTCGGGTCAGCAATCTTCCCTAATATTAGTTTCTTTATTGAATATTTTTTGTTCCTTTTCGCAATCTGTATAATGTCATGCAAAAAGTTGCACAGACATTTATTTAATTATAATTTTGTGCAGGTTTTTACCTTAGGTACAAAATCGTCTTATAATTTCTGCGCGCTTTGTTTGAAACACATGAATAACTGGTACCTTACATGTATGTGTGTTTGCGGTACCGCTACGAAAGTGCGGAAAAAAGCAAGAGGTAGCAAAAGTGTTTCCGAAAATAAAAGAAGAAACGGACAATAGGAAGACATTGATAGACGTAAAAGGCGCCATGCGCATAATACACAGAGCTGGGCAGCGCTACTTGGAAATGTAGCGGCGCTACCGCTACCGCTACATGCTCTAAATGTAGCGGGCGCTACCGCTACCGCTACATGCTCTAAATGTAGCGGGCGCTACCGCTACCGCTACATGCTCTAAATGTAGCGGGCGCTACCGCTACCGCTACACCCACTAGATTGTAACGGGCGCTACCGCTACCGCTACAGTAAAATGTAGCACGCTACATTAGCCGCTACAATGGCCAAAATTATTGGAAATCTCTAAATATTTATTGTTCTGCTATTGGGATTTACTCATTAACATTTAATGATAATAAAACACTTTTAAAACATATCAATGCAACTTTATTGCAATTAACCTAACCGAACTAGTATGGGTTACCCCAGGATTAGATACAGTAAATAAAAGTTACAGTTATTTTTATGTTTTACCTCCCCTACATGGATGTGAACTTTAATCTACCAATCTAAGAAATTATCCACATATACATATAAAATTCAGTCTTTTTTGTATATATATGTGGATTATTTTTGAGATTGGTAGATTAAAGTAGACATCCATGTAGGGAAGGTGAAACATAAAAATAAGTGTGTAAAAATAAGTGTAAGAAAACTGAAAGATGAAAAAAACCTGTAAGTGGTACTGTAAATTGGGGTAACTTAGACCGGCGGGGTAACTTAGACCACTTTTTGTTTTTTTAACAAAAAACCCCACAACTCAAAAACTATTTGACATAGAAAAAAATTGTCAATGGGCATTGCGGGCCTAATACTGAGGTTACATAACACAATAGAAAGATTCAAAAAGTTTGCATATCTAATAGGTTAGAAAATTAAAAATGTGACCCATGAAAAAGAGCTATTATTTAAAGCCTATCAGAGTACCCCCTCCAATTTTTTTATTTTTTGGTTAAATAACTCCAGGTTTTGATGCATTGTAGTAGAACTCTTCTAGTTACATATGCAAATGACAAATAGCTACGGCAATGAGAGACATACCATTCGATTTGTAAAAACAATACCTAGCGACTCTAGAAGCCTTTTTTTAATATGTGCATGGTTTGACTTATATATGGGAGGGGGAGGAAGGTGGGGGGTAAAAATGGGAAAAAATGGGAAGAACGCGAAAAAAAAAACGGTGAGGAAAATCAAAAATCGGGGCTCTACAGTCGCTTGATATTGTTCTTACAAATCGAATGATATGTGTCGCGACATTGTAGCATGTGATTTGCAAAAGTTATAAATTTTTTAGAGTACCCCTTATTTGCCGTTTTCTATTAATTCCACGTTTTCTTTCATTTTTTTTACACGAACAACAAGGTCTTAGATTTCTGTTTTACATATGTGTACAAGTTTCAAAACGATCCGTCTGTAAACAAAAAAGTTTTGTTGGAGGGTAGCCGGTCCCCTTAAGTAAAATCTAAAGGCTTTATCTATAAATGTAGCGGTAGCGCTGTAGCGGCAAAACCTCGTATCGCTACTTAAATATGTAGCGGGCGCTACCGCTACCGCTACATTGCCTTAAATGTAGAGCCGCTCTGATAATACAGGTTACCGGTTGGTTAAAAATTAAATATCTTACGAGCGTCGGATGTGCAATAAAGTAAGGGCACTCTACAGGTACTCCCTCGACACTCCTCTTCGAACGACCTCGCGACATTTTGTCCGAGAAGTTTGACGACTGGCCCTTCCTGTCGGTGCACTACTGGGGCGAGAAGGCCGTCGGCACATGGAGACTAGAAGTTACAAACGCTGGCTCACGGGCTGCGCACCAGCCAGGTATAAACTAATATAGAATTAACATTTGTTTCTTTGGCCAAGTGAATATGCACGCGTAATCATGAGTTTATTTAAATCAGAGTTGCAAGAACGCGTTGAATAGTTCATTGAAGCTCAATTAATTCTTAGCTCAATGTTCATACTGAGAGTATGAAATAATTATAGATTATTTAACTCACGCAAGGATAGAAAGCGTGAGCTACATCCTTTTATTTTTCACAGTTTTAATTGAAAGATTTACAAAAAACTGTTTTGATCTCTTAGGTACACAAATATTCTCATAACTTTGATTATAATTATTCGAGTGTTCACATGACGGCAAGATCGAAGTGTCATCTTTGTGAGTATAAATCTCAATGAACTCACATTGATTATATGGTCGTGGTAAATATTATTTTGCAGGCGTGCTGATCCAGTGGCAGTTGATCTTGCACGGCACGAAGGAGCATCCCGAGAAACTGGTCTCGAACAGGTCGCCTGCTCACCAACAGCCCTCCTAGGTGCCTCTGTGATATTCATTTCCTAGCAACTTATGCACTCTAGAAAATTGAAATACAATATTTTATAGTAACATATTCTTTCCATGAATCCTGCAGTAGGCCATCGTTAGCAAATTTTACTGGTGTTCGCATTAAAATCCTTTCTACGTTTGTAATTACGTGTCACGTGAAGAATATGCGAATACAGTTTTTTCCATATAGTTACTCAAGAACAAAGAAGATTCATGTATTAAAATACCAACCAAATTAAATTGAGGCTGGAATATGATGAGGTTTAGAGTTTCAAGGCACAAATACTGTCTAAAATCACCGATCATTTGTGTCAGAATTCAAATTGCTAAGCAGTAAATCTGGTAATTTATTTACTATTTCCATTGAACTGCAAGACATTTATTCACTATACAACGGCACAAGCACTCAGTGAATTTAATGAGTGTTAGTTCAGCCGTCTGCTACTCATGTTTCATTCAGACTCATATCTAGCATAATGAGTCTGGAAAAAAGATGTCTGAAGGCTGCCTCATTTTTGTATCGTATTCATTGTCAATCGAAAAGATTGATTAATGATTACCCATTCATGAAATTATACGAGTAGTATAGTTCTACCTCCTGAGGATTGGGAATATTATAATGCAATATTTTCAGTCGGTTTCTCAAATATTATACAACAATGCTCGCTCAATAAGCGCTTTCTAGCGTTCATACAATAGAAAGAATCTTACTGCTGCTACCACACGATACTGCAGTACAGTAGTACTATAACGCCTTTCAAGGGTTTAGAGTGAGCAGTTAGGGGACTAGATTCATATATTCCATTTTATTATCTGAAATGCATTAAAAATTTGCTCGGTCCTCGACAGATTAGAAGCAAACTATACTTAATTTTTTTTACAACACTTCTCTTTAACTTCACTTCTTGTTTGTCTGTTTGTTTGTTTGTCTGTCTGTCTGTCTGCTACAAATCTTGTAATCGAAATTTAATACACTTCTACTTATCCTATCGATCAGGGGCCATACTTTCAAAACTCGCTAAGTGAACGTAAGTACTTACGCTCTATTTTCTTGTCTATGATTGGTGGATTCTGCCTGAAAGGCTGTCAATGATTGGCTGATGAACTTACGATCTCTTAACTTTTTTTGAAAGTATGGGCCCTGAAATTTTGCACACTTGTGTAAAGTTGGAGACAATGCATGAATCAAATGTCAAAATAAATGATTTTAAAAATAAATAAAAAAAAAATTTTCCGTATTAAATTTTAAACTGAAATTGATTTGAAATTCAGGGCATGGGTGTAACTCGCGCAAGTAACTATGATACGAGAAAGCCTTCTGGTTAATTACGAAGCAGTATTTAAATGCGCGTATTTCGATTTTCCCCAGATTTGAAAATTTTCAAACTTTAAGATCGAAGAACTTTACACCATCTTGATAAAATTCGAAATAGTTCGTAATCTGTAGAAACGCGCTTTTTTTATTCTTCTATCGCCCCAGCATTTGATACGTGTCCAGCAATGGACTGCTGCAGAGATGACCGGGAGTGTTGTTAAGGAAGTATTCCCTTGAGCCAGCATCACTGCGTCAGAAAACCTACTAGACGTGGTCAAGATTTGAAGCTCTCGAACGGCAACGCTTGCTGCGGAGATCAAGCGTAATTTTATTCTCCAAGTCGAGATTACGAATTTGAGTGTCCCGACCATTGTGGGCGTCAGAGCCTTGAAGTAAGAGTGAGTTGTACCTGCAGTAAAAATCAAGCATCGAAGTAAGGAAACTGCAAGTGCAATCAGGCGGGCAATGTGCCATTCCGAGATTGTTAATGCCATGCAAAAATCCAGAGGAAAAATAGTGGAGAATCAACGGCTGCGTTACTGCGTAAGCAGCAAGATTACTTGGAAGAGAACGCTAAATTGTAGAGGGAAATTTTTCGCTATGTAATCAAACCATCGGATTAAGATGGAAAAGGTGAATTGGAGAAGAAGAGATGGGTTGCGGAGGATCTGGATTATAGCTACCAGCGTAGGCTGCAGGAGCAAGAGAAATATTACGAAAAAATTGTTCTGCAGAAAGACGAAGTGATCCAAGAGTTGTAATAAATTAGGGAACAGAAGGAAGAGCTAGGAAAAGCTCGTTCAAAGAACCAGAAACTTCGTTGCAGTCTCTCTAAGCAGTCCCTCGAGAAATCACAATTAAAAAAATCCAGCCGGACAAGAAGCCGTCTTGTATCTGCAGAAGATGAGTTGAGCTCAAATGAAGATTCCTACTAATTTGTAATGACTTAGAGCTCGGGCTTGCAAAAAGATAGGTTTTTACACTTAAAGTAGGATCACGATCGTTTATTACGTGATCGAGATTTACTGAAATAAATGTTGGACTAGTTGAAGTAAAGACACGCTTCCGATTAGCGTCAGGCATAGGAAGAAATCAATGCTCTGAAGAAGAAGATTGAAGAAACAAAATATCTTAACAGTGATTTAAAAACTGATCTTCGAGCTGCTAATAGTGAGTTGCTGAGGTTGCGATAGAATTAGAAAATAATGCAAAATGATTCAACGAATGCGGCCCAAGCTCAAAAAATAGTGGAACTCGAGAACGCTTTGCACCATCAAGAGTAAAAAATCAACGAGTTGGTTGAGAATAGGCAAATGACGAGCGTGGCAAGTTCAAATCCGGAATTCGGGCATAATTTTGGAAATAATTTGAAGTAAGAGAATGATTTCTTAAAAGGATTATTGCAACAGTACAGCTGGTGCTTTTCAGACTGTATGCTCACCTTAAGTGAAGCAAGATAATTGTTTCAGCTGGATGAATCAGATGAAAATTTGTCTTATGTTAACCAGAACGACATCAAATTCGGGAGAAGAAATTTCATCCCAAACAACCGAGCAAATGAGTCATCGCATCAAAGAGGTCACCCCAGAAGCAAAACCAAACCTCTTTACAGCGACGGAGAAGCTCTGGTGCGCAACCTGAAAGATTTTATCAGTTAAATGAAACTGATAGAATAAATGGCGAGTGAAGCTGCAGCGGAATCTGTCGAGCAATTAATTAGATCTAAGGAACTTGAGATGGAAAACATGAGAGCCGATTTGAAAGATGAAAGAGAGAGAACATTGAAACAAACGGGATAAATGGAAAACTTGCTCAGAGCTCTGGAATAAAAAGACCACGAGCTAGAAGAGTAAAAATTTTAAAATGGTGTTCTGACAGAAAATTTTAGATCGTCAAAAGAGCTATTCGATAAGAAAATAACTGATATGAATAATCAGAAAGAAGATGATGTTTTGAAATTGAAGTAAATTATCAAAGACATAAAAGATCAAACGTTTTCCATGGAACGATAGGAAAAACGTGCAGGTATCGCACTCTAAGACGCATAGAGTGAAGGATAGAAACTCTAAGAACGGTTAAATGAGCTGCAATTGCAACAAAAAAAGCTGAGTGGCCAGCTACTGGAGTCATAGGAGAAGAATTAGCTTTTGATCAAACAGAACCGAGCTGCTGCTGAAGAAAATGCAACCCTCTAAGTCGAAATACAACGTCTGTAAAAAAATCTTGCCGAAGTTGTAAAATACTAAGATTAAAACTAGGAATACAAGGATAAAATGTCAACTCTGGAAAGTAAGATTGAAGATCGCGAGAAAAGATATCATAATCAACGTCAATAGTAGCAGGACCAAATATAAATTCTGGAGCGCAAGATGGAGGACGACGCAAAAAAATATCATGACCAATATCAGTAATAACAAGACAAAATATAAACTCTGGAGCGTAAGATAGAGGACGATGACCAAAAATATCATGACCAATATCAGTAATACCAGGACAAAATATAAACTCTGGAGCGCAAGATGGAGGACGGCGTCTAAAAATTTCATGATCAATGTCGATAATACCAGGACTAAATATAAATTTTGGATTGCAAGATAGAGGACGATGACCAAAAATATCATGACCAATATCAGTAATACCAGGACAAAATATAAATTCTAGAGCGCAAGATGGAGGACAGCGTCTAAAAATTTCATGATTAAAGTCGGTAATACCAGGACTAAATATAAATCCTGGAGCGCAAGATGGAGGACGGCGACTAAAAATATCATGACCAATGTTAGTATTACCAGGACTAAATATAAATCCTGGAGCGAAAGATTGAAGAAGATACCACACGGCAGAAGGTTACTATTCAAGAATATTCCGAGAAAATTAGTGCATTAGAACATAAGTTGGCACAAGACGGCAATGAGTATGGCAAGTTAAAATTGGAATAGTCGAAGAAAATCGTAGCCTTGGAAGAGAAAGTCATTGAAGCCGTTAGAAATTCTGAGCGGCACGATGAAAATTTATAAAAAGTAGCGACTTAGGAGCGCCAGATATACGGCAAAGTGGAATAATACCGAGACAAAAATAATGAACTATTGGAAAAAATCTAAGTCTTGGAGCGACAGAAAGCCGAAGCTTCTAATGATTATTATCAAGATAAAAAAGAACTTTTGTCTAAAATCTCAAAGATGAAGCAATAGTAAGCGGAAGACTAGTGTGTTATCTAAGAAACTAATAAAAAACTTGGTCAACAACTTGTACTGATGGAGTAAGCCAAGTCTAAATTTGAGCACCTATAGCAACAATATGATGTGCTGCTTAACATGCACAGTGACTGTATGGAGTAATTTATGTAGCTAGAAGCGGAAAATAAAACTCTTTTGGTGTAAAGTGAATTGCATGAGGCAAATTCGCTTCGAATGGTGCAATAGCTAGAAGCTCTTTAGCAATAAATGCTTTGCCTGCAGGATGATAGTGACGCGGCGAAAGCCAAACTAGTGGAACGCGTTAGCAGTCTTGAGCGTCAGCTTGCAGTCCAGCATGAGGAGTATCGACGGGTTGAGGAGTAACTATTAGACCAGCATGGTGACCAAAATAATGAAACTTTATCAAGCAAAGCAGTTCAAACTAGGGAAGATGATCTCTACAGAAAATTACAGATTGACTTTGAGGAGCTAGAATCCGCAGCAGTAGAAAAAGATTAGCTGATAGAGCGTTTGAATGATCAAATTTGGAGTCTTTAAACTGAGGTTAA